GATTATTGTTTTCTTTCTTTTTGCTTTGTAGCCTGACATTTAATGTATTCAAGTGGTTAATGAGGTCCGAAAGGAACTCCAAGTCTTTTAGTCAATTACTGTCTGCCGTTTGCATAAAAATTTTATAATAATTCCTCATGAGCGTCAGACTTATCTTATCTGAACTACGAGGGCCGGTCCCCCACTACTGAATGCCCGCGAGATTGCCCGCGGGCAACCGAGGCTGCTCTTGCCCGCCAGAGCCTATGCTGAGCAGCTCTGTGCTAGACCTTTTTTTATAGCCGCACCCGTAGTTCCTGGTCAACCCGACCAGGATATCGAAACATCGTGAGCCACGATGTTTTTCCACGAGAACCACCGTAGAATATCTCAGATGTTTAACAATTTTATTTAATAAGCATATATTACATATATGTATAATACACATTTATTTAATAAACAGTTGTAGCGCTTAGAGAAATAATATAAAAGAATGAAATATAATTAATTAATAAAATTATGAAGAAAAATATATAAAAATACATTGACGGCATCGTAGATTCATATGATTCTGTTCCGTTTCACAGCAAGGGACTTGCTTGTGGAATCGATTGGCCGATCGATAGTAATAATAATCTGAGGCGGAGGAACTCCGCTTCGTACAATACAGTCTACTGCGCAGAGTTTTGCCCACTAACGGCGACTTATTCCACACAGGGTTGGAGTGCGACGGAAACTTAATCTTTACATTACTTTGCAACATTTCAGGGACCAAGAGCGTCGCCGACGATAAATTCGACGGGCCCTGATCTGCGGCAGAAGGCACAGGACGACGGCACCAGGACCAAAGGATAGACGGAGAGCTGATAGATCCGGGACGGAAAATTCGCCGGCAACTTTGGATCTCTTTCGTCGACCAGCCGCCCTCCAAAGTCCTCCATCTTTGGAAAATAAATAGAGTGTTTGCCAGTGAAAATCAGTGTACGTTTATTTCGTGTCCCGTCCCTCGAATCCGGACCCGTTAGGGGCCACCTATCCCCTAACAGATTATGTACATCGATAGAGGATTTAATGTGATCTGCATGAATTCACCAAAAACTTATCCTTACAAAAATGTTTACTGTTTTATATTTAAATTTTTGGTTGGGTTTTGTTTCCGGGAAATCTTTTATTTCACTCCATATTTACAATGATCGCACAAACGACTTGCAAAAAAAAATTTGAATTTAGGGATTCACTCACACATACAGAAGTTTCCGAAATTTTGATGCATTCTCTAACCATTAGCATGACATTAGCTTAATATCTGATATATTGTGAATATTTTAACACGTTGAGTGTCACGTCAGTCACCGGTGA